TCTCTCTCTCTCTCTTTCTTTCTTTCTCTCTCTCTCTCCTCCCTCCCTCCCTCCCTCTCATCTCTCCGCTCTAACTGTAATTTATTGAAGTTTTTATTGTTTTTCAGATTTAAAAAATGAATTCATGTTTTATATATAAAGCTTTATATTGAAAGCTTTTTTGACAAAAGGGATATAAATTATTAGATATGTTCGCAAATATACTCCAATAGAAATGAAATATAATTACATAATAAGTTAGAGTCGAGTAAATATAATTGAAAGTCAGTCAGTCGTTGTCATTTTAAACATAGTTATGAGTTAATTAAGGCTTCAAATATATGTTGAGTTTTGAGAAATGTTTGCAAGTGTTAAAGTGTTGTGTTGTGTCGCTTGAGTTGATTGACTACTAATGCAAAATACTTGTTAAGAATCCGTATTCACTCGCTGTGTATGTTATTGCAAGTGTCGGCCAAAGCCTCACAAATTGATAACAACTAACTGTTGAGTACTTGAGCTGAGAATCCAATTCATTAGTCGCGAAAAGTAAGAATCATATCAAAAATCGAGTCCTTTTTCTTACTATTAATACTAGAGAACTGGTAGTGATATATACAGTGAAAGCCTTACCTTAGAAACTACTATTCAATACAGTAGTGATTCATTAGTTAAGGCAGAATTGATATCAAATCTAATGGCATAAAACGGTTTATCGATCGGAGGACTGGTAGGCGTTTACAACTCTGTTCATCCGTTTGCCTCAACTCTGTCTTTAGTTGAAATACTGGCGCCGAAACGATATGAACCAAAATAAGTGTATGAATGCCATTCATAGAGAAAAGTTGGATATGGATGTGAGTGTCACTCAACATAATCACCGAAATGTCTTCAAAACACATGACTCTCACGTCAAGTCATCGGAGAAGGGATTCTTCATCAAAACATGGGTTATATTTTGCTTATTAATCGTTGCCATCGCCTGTATTGTGGGAATTGCATTCTTTGTGGCACTTTTTAACCCTTTCTATCGGTGTGTCTGTGATAATAGCACACAAGTTGTGCCCAAATGTATGCTAAATACCGACAGCAAAACATCAAACAAATGCTTTTCTGCCATATCTTCGGACTGTTTAACAAACCAAACAAAAGTTTCACCACTTTATGCGTCAACCGATCATTTGTACGTACGTTTGCCCACAAGTATTGTCCCGAATCACTATGACGTTCAGCTCCACACTTATATCGGACCCAAAGACTTCTACTTTGATGGCAACGTTAGTATACAATTCATATTTACTTATTTTACCGTTCAATTAGTTTTTGCAAACTTTATCCTTTTTCGCGACAAACAACTTTTATTAAGCATTTGTAAATATAGTGATCTATAATTTGATATTATTTTTTAGGTAACAATTTTAATAGAGTGTAAGGAAGACACGGATAACATAACGGTTCACATCAATGATATGACCATTTATAATGAATCGGTTGTCCTTCTCGATGATCGAGAAAAACACTTGTCTTATATCTCAAACTTCTCACACGAAACGAAACGACAATTTTTTATAATTCATTTGAATACGAATCTAAAGCGCGGAAAAAATTATATTTTAAAAATCAAATTTAAAGGCAATCTGAACGACGACTTGTCTGGTTTCTACAGGAGCTCCTATAAGGACAGCGCCGGCAATAAACGGTTAGTTATATAGAAAACTAATTTATTAAAGCATTTAATCATTTAAATGGTTCCCAATTTGTATCAAATTATTTGCAAATTAGTCGTTCAATTAAACGATTGCTAAATATTTGGCAAACGAGTGATAATTTGAACAAATTTTTGGTATCTTTTCTCCAGAGATTAAAATTAATAATTTAAAACAAAATTAAAGTCAACTTATATTTATATAATTCTATCATATTTTATATTTTAAATCATTAAATTGGTCGCAAACTTAACATTCATTACATCTCAAAAGTGAATGCCATACAAAATATCATTTAAGATATAAATATATTTTTAATTTTTAGATTGAATTTAATATGAAAATTCTACCATCATGTATACGATTTAGCTGTATTATCCCTCCTATTAGAAAAATAATTATTATTACAGTGCAACCTCTCCATAGGAAACGGGCAGATGCATAGCCAAAGTGTTTCTTATAGAGAGGGTTCTTTCAATTGAGGTTCTTTTATAAACACGAATAACATGTATTATATTTGTTAATCTGTCATTAAAAAGTTTCTATGCTCATAATCATGAGTGTTGATATCCCATGAGCACAATGTTAAACTTTCATAGAGTTTACACCTAAAGCACTCATGTTCATAATTAACGATTTCAGTTTGTTTAAAATTGAAGTAATTTAGAATTTAGATATTTTTGTTTGTTTTCATTTTTAGTTTTGTAAATATGCTTTAATTATCGTTATTATTTTGTAAAATGTTAGCTAGTTACTTATAAAGAGTGTTAATTTTGTCAAAAATTTCCATAAATCCGTTTCCCTAAGAGAAGTTGCTTTAGCATTATAAGTACTGTATAAGAAATCCAATAAATATTTTTAACACGTTTCTTATGAGGAGGTGTTTCTCCAACAAGTTTCTCTTGTAATAGAAGTTCCCAAAGAGAGGTTGCACTTTATTATCATTATTTAATTAATTTCATTTAATTGATAATATCGTTGAGAATTTGTATAAATTCAATGTGTTAACGTTGACATGGGGACATCTTATTCTATACAACTAATGATAAACTAATGATTTATTCCTTTTGACACATTTATGGATAAATCTTATAAGTTATAACAAAACTATGAGTTTATTCTAAGTTTGTGGAGAATGTTACTTCTATGGACTATTGAATGTGCATGACAATATTTCAAATGCTTTAAATTCTATATTACCTTTTACAAAAATATTGCTTGTACAATGCTTTACATAACAAATATAATGGTTTAAAATCTAGCAATTAGTTTCATTAGTTCTTTAAACAACTTTAATATTTACTATTATCTCAATG